AAGGACTTAAATCGCTCTGAAGAGGCGAAGAAATACTGAGGCCATAGATCTCGCGAAAAATCCTGAGGTTGTTTGATGAACAGCATTAATACACTAGGGATCATAGAGAACTGCGCAAGAAACTCTATATAGGAATTTAGAGCTGCATCTCGTGATCAAATGGGCAGCATGCAAGAACGAAATCCCAAGGAGAGGAGCGTGATGAGAAACACAACGTCGAAAGCATAGTAGGAGGGTATGAGGGTTAGAATCAGAGACGTATACGTGGGCAGAAGGCTATGCCTGAAACGTATAGCAAGATAATACGTTCCAGTTCGGGCTGTTGATAGAAAAGGTAATTCCAAAGTGTTCTCAAGCATGATTACAAAAATCAGGAGCTGCTACAAATTAATAGTACATCCATTTCCTTAGAAAGTTTCAGGTCGCAACCGAGTTAGCCCAAAATCATTAAACGCAAACTTGTTCAAAACTTGATTCACACGATGATGGTTCAAGGTTTGAAAGGCGTTAGATCTCACCTGCGCACTGGGAAGCTGAGAAGAAAGGCAACCTATGATCTGCATTACCTAACTTTTATCAATATCGGCCGCAGAACTTCAGGGGTAGCTTTGGTCATACTCTAAAACTGGTGATTCTAAAGATATTTCGGAAGAGGAAGCCAACAGTTTAACAACCCAGAGAGATATCGCTACGGTCAGACGCGGTTAATTGTGCTAGATATTTGAATTACCGCTATCAACAAATTTTAGCTTTTTAAAGTAACGCGGCATTTTGAGAGCATTTTGTTACAAATTTCTACTGGAGAGGAGTTTCAAAAGAGAGGTTCCCATGCACATGCATGTATTCTTAATAATGTCCCAGGATCAACCTTCAAGATCAGAACATTCCTGATGTCATTAGTTTATTATAATTATATTTCTACTGATGGTCTGATCAGCCACTTAGAAAATTATTTGGGTTATCAAAAGATAACACAGTCGGTCTTGATTAGGGAAATAAGAGGACAACAGTTGTCGTTTTGCATACCATCCATCCAATGCCTTCACGCTAATACTGTTACCTCTCAGAACAAATCAAAATTCAGAAAGACACAAGGAAAATCTTTTCTCATAAACGTTTTAAATCTGAATATGACTACAGAAGATATTCTAATTTAAACGATTTTGAACACTCTGTCTGATAGTAGAATAATATGTCCTTGATGACTATGTGTTAGCCCTTAGGTAAGTTTACCAAACCCAAAATTTTCTAAAAGAAATTACAGGATCGTTTTATAAACGCTTATAATCCTCTGATTTTAGAACTCCATAGAAAATATGGATATCCAATATATACTGATGCATATGCTTGCTGTTCATACATAATTAATATATTAAAAGCCACAGGGTAATTCTAGCTCTTAAATGAAGCTGTATCAGAGGTAAATGCTGGAATTATACTTATTACAAAACTTAAACATATAGGCACAAATTTATATCAGGCACATAAATATCTGCGTCAAGAAGCAGTATATTGCTGCATTGGCTCCATCCTTCGAAGAGCAATGCAGAAATATTTATAACACTGACCTGAGGAACGTGTCTGAATGGTAAACCTAGAGCGAACTTCAGAACCTTCCTTCAGGGTCTGACTGTAATATCTGAAGCCGGTATTTTAGACATTATGTTCAAAGATCCGATCAGTTAGAAACCCTTTGTTTAGCTGATTTTGCATCTAGGTATAAATATTTTAAATCTAGTAGAAGAGCAAGATAGTGATATGGAAGAAAGGGAGAGGGGATGGAGATTACTGAAAGGGGTGTCGCCTCTTAAAGACGGTAGCGGTTTTGTGAAAACATAAATTATGCGGCACCCAAACATCAACTTTTTGTATCCAGCCTTCTGCAGATGGTCTTGTATGGTGGTGACTAACTATCTCCTAGGATGTCACGAGATGCTATGACGGTTTAACTCGCGATATCTCATGATTTGATCGGTATTTGTCGTCACAGGTCTTCCGCCGGTGGTTTATCCATGGTGTCGTTTTCACGGCTCTAATCGCTGAAACCATCTCCGCGGTCTGAAGTGATAGAGGCTCATCCCCAAAACCATTAATCACGGAAGTCTCTAGCGGATTTGCCTTTAACGAAGGAAACTTTAAAAATGTGAATTTTGGCGTTAGTGAACCTACGTTTACACGTTCATAACTGTGAACGCAATATCCAAACTAATCATATCAGGTTGTTTTGTAGGGTTGAATAAGACTTTCAAATTATGTAGTGTTGCCAGATACGAGCCGCTGGTAGCATACGCGAAATTCAAAAGACGGCAAAGGAAGGAGATATTTGAAACTTTATATTTTATGTTTTGTAGAAACTTAGAGTTATCCTTGCGAAAGTTTTGATATACGTATTACATCCAATTAACAGAGCTGAATAAATAGCACGGAAACAACTAAGAAATAAACGGGGATTTTATTATATGCAGCATAGATTGCTTTTTCTATAGAATCAAAGGCTGTAAAGAAATTTATTCAGGCCAAAGTTTTAGAAGCGGTTTTGTTTAAATTGCTAATATTAATATTCTAGTTCTATAGAAATTCAGCTTCTGTCAGACAATTAATAGAACTTGCAGTCCTTACTTGAGTTAGGCAATCCAAATGTGCTAATTGTTGAGATTTTAACATTTGTTTAATCTCATAGACCGCTAATAAGAATCTGCTCAAGAAAATCTTAGTTCCTGCTTGGTGCAGAATATCTAACTACACCTGCCGGACACAAATGATTTAGCATTTTCAAACATGGATCCTTCCCGTGTAATGCACATTTTGAGACAGTACACAGCCATCATGACAGTTATTTGTGTTCTCTATTTCTGAACTAAGTTTTCATACTTACTACAAAATATAATCGAATCTTGAATGGTATAGGAATTTTGACTAATCAGTTTTAAGACAATTTAAAGAAAATAGTAATAATCTAATTAAGAAAATTAAAATTATACATATAATTCGGTTATTATATATGACATTATTGTATAAATATAATAGAAATTAAATAGTATATAAAAATAAAATATAATTTGATATATGTCAGAATCCTACAAAATTTATGTTTATATTGTAAATATTTATATACAAATTAATATAATAATATTAATCATTTTTAGTGCTGTTAACATTTCATTACTCATCATTTTTAAAGTTGTTAATATTTATTATTTTTAAGCTAAACATGTATAATAATATCAATATAATAAATAAAAAATGTTATTCATTGTTCAAAAACGATTTCTTTTCATACTTCTCAATACAGTTGTAATGCTTTCTATATAAAATCAATTATAAGCGTATACAAAAAGCTCAAGAACGATTTCTCATAATTTGAGTAAATTTAGCTTACAAATTGCTCTAATTATTTTCACTGTGAATGAAAAGTAAATTACAAAGGCAACATTTCCTATGTATGTGTGGTCAGTTATTAGACTAACTTTATTCGCAAAATTCTTCTCCTTAAATAATATTCTAAGCAATATTGCAATACCGTTAAATACATAATTTCCGCTAAGTACATAGTTTATGTTTTCTATGAGTGCATATATACATAAGTATGTAAGTTATATAAAAACAGTTCATAAATAGAGAATAATCCAAGTACATACTTTATTCTATTGCTCCTTCGTATATAATGTAGTTATTAATAAAAGAGAAATATAAAAAAATGGGAACGCAGCATTACAAGAGGCTGCTAACATATTAAGCTTAGTACATGTTAAATGGGACTAGCTAATGTGCACAAACAAATATTCATATAATTGCGTGGACGAAAACATAGCGGTAGCATAAGTGTACAAAGCAAGCGCAAGCAAACAATAAATATGTAAGTATGTACACAATGCAAATTCAATTATTAACTGCATTGAGTGAAAGACTGAATGACTTCTAATGCTTACCCTTGAATATTAAGCAAATAAGTAGAGAACAAGAAATAGCAAAAATATATAGAACATATGACCGTATAATGCATTGGTTCTCAATCGGTGACCCAACATCCCGGCCCCGTTGAAAGGCATTTCAAACAGGTAGAAGGGCTAGCTTGTGAATTGGCCGCAGAATGATTCCCTTCGTTGTTGGAATGTCCACCACACGCACTTTCGAGTCCTTTCCTGGAATACAGTTTATAACTCTTCCAATATGCCATTTTTGTGGTGGTAAATTGTCTTCATGGATGATAACCATTGAGTTGTTGTTGATGTTTGGTCGCTCTGTAAACCACTTTGATCGTACTTGAAGTTCGTTTATGTATTCATTTGACCACCTGTTCTAAAACATCTGTTTAATGCTTGTGACCTGATTCCATCGTTGTACGATGCTGATGTTAGCTGACAATCTCCGCTCTGGGAGTGCCGTAAGTGTGCCCCAATAACAAAATGCCCCGGAGCTAATACTTCATAATCATTTGGATCCGATGACATTGGTGTTATTGGACGAGAATTTAATACAGCTTCTATCTCAACCAGGACTGTTGTTAGTTCCAAAGCTGTAAGTCTTGCATTTTTGATGGTGCGGATGAGGTGACCCTTAGCCGATTTGGCTCCTGCCTCCCAAATACCGCCGAAATGAGATGCTCTTGGAGGAATAAAATTGAAATTTATAAATTCATTAGCACAATATTTTACAATTGCATCGTTGTTTTCGGTTTTATATAAAAATTACTTTAATTCAGCTAGTTTGTTGCAAGCACCCACAAAATTTGTTGCGTTATCGCAAAAGATGTCAGAGGGTAGACATCTTCTTCCAATCATGCGCTTCAATGACGCTAAGAATGCGTCCGTGGATAGATCCGATACTAGTTCGATGTAAACCGCCTTTGTCGCTAGACAAACGAAGATCCCAATGTACGCTTTATAAGGTGTTTTGCCTGGAATACGCAAATATACGTTGACTGGTCCGCAGAAATCAATACCGCACCGCGCAAAAGGACGAGATGGAGTTAAACGCTCTACAGGTAACTGTCCCATTACTTGGTTCATCAGCTTTGGCTTGTAGCGTATACAATGTGTGCATGATCTGACGATACGTCTTGCTAAATCGCGCGCATTGACTATCCAAACCTGAAGTCTTATCAGTACTACGAGTGCCTTTGGTCCTGCATGGTAGTGTTTCCGATGTAGATGACGAACGTAATGCACAACAAATTCGCATTTGTTTGGCAACAGCATTTTGCAACAGGATTTAAATAACGTAATGGGCCATTTATCGTAAGCTCTTTCTGTAAAAGATGAATTTCATTAGCGAAATGTATGTGTTGAATATTCCAAATTATGCAAAGAAAGGCGTGATGTAACTCTTGTGGTGAAAGTGTTAATAAGTCATTAAGATTAGCTCCATGTCGAAATTTATTGATGAAGCGGAACATCCAAGCTATTAATCGAAGGCTGCTGGTGTGGTTACTCCGCTGATTCACAATTTCCAAAATGTAATTGGTGCTAACAATTGTATTGAATGCTGATTTTCGTTTTTCCCTATCGACAACTTCCATGTCGATATCATCGCAGCTGTTCTTTGGCCATTTATCTGAGTTTTCGTATAGAAACTTTGGTCCGGTGTACCATATTGAATTAACAAGTTCCTTTACAGTACATCCTCTAGAGGCAACATCCGCCGGGTTATAATGCGTTGGTACATGTCTCCAATGGGCGCCTTTGGTTAAATCTTGAATTTCCGAAATTCGATTACCAACAAAAGTCGAAAGTGTTGCAGAATGCATCTTAAGCCAATGTAATACTATTTGTGAGTCTGTCCAAAGAAAAATGTTAAAAGATTTGTTAGAAATTGTTGGTTTAATTTTTGCTAAAAGACGAGCGCCGCAAAGTTCTAATTTAGGTAACGATTGTTTTTTGGTGGGTGCCACTCTGGACTTCGCGTTTTGTTGAGAACGAAAGTATATTTTGCGCTGCCTTATGCACAAATCGATGCGTCACAAAATCCATGTATCTGAAGAGATTCCACATCTGTGGAAAAACAATGCCTCGGCACTTTAATTTGTGAAAGATCCGATAAGCAGTTAAGACATTTTTTCCAAGCGAATTCGATGTTCTGTGGCACAGATTCATCCCAATCCAACTTTAGTAGCCATATTTCTTGCAACACAATTTTTGATGTTATAATAACAGGAACTAAAAGTCCAAGTGGGTCGTAAAGTGATGATGCAACAGAAAGGATGGAACGTTTTGTAAGTCGACCAGTCAGAGCTAGTTTGGCTTCGAATGAAAAAATAAAACAATCAAGATTTTGGTTCCATTTTAGTCCAAGTGTACTAGTGATGGATGTATCTACGTTTAGATCCTTTATAGAGTCGTCTTCTCTGAATTATGATAATTGGAATGCCACTTTGTTAATTTAAACTGTCCTAATTCTAACAGTTGTATTACCTCTTGCTTTATCTGTGCAAGTTCGGTTAGAGTATCAGCACCACAGAGTAAGTCGTCTACGTAGAACGATGACTTCACGACTTTTGCGCCAATTGAAAATTGTTCCGAATGCTGTTCAGCTAGATAGA